CAGGGCAGTGCTACTAACTGAAGTGTCTTTAGGCCTTTCCCGAAGGGGGGATATTACGTGTTCTTATGCACAGTAGAATTGTTTTATGGACTGATTCATCAATGTCATGCTCGTACTGTGCCGGAACAACGTAGGGGGAACTGCTGTTTTTTTCTTTTCTCTTCCTTACTAAGTTACTATCATCATTTTTCCTCTTCTATGTTTGTCACTCTCTTGTGAACTGCTATTTCCGGAGTGCCTTGATAGTCTAAGCAGACTTTGTGCTGTTGAGGCTAGAGAGGTGAGCAGAGTAAGTCTGATTCCTTGTAAGGACTTTTCTGTTGACATCCACCCCTTGGCGCTCATATGACCTTATGTAGTTGCGAGCGCCGTAAAACCTTACTAAAACAAACAATTAGCTGGAGCTTAACTTTTCGAGACATAAACCTTTCTTGTATCTCTTTAACTTTTAGCTCTGGCTCATTTCGCTGTTTACTTTGAGCTCACATTAAGCTCCTTCTCTCTCATTTCACTGTTCAGTTCGAGCTCACTTTAAGCCTTTTCTCTCACCTTTCCCAGACATTAACCCTTCTTGGAGCTCTTAAACTTATTGCTCAGGCTCATTTCGCTGTTCAGCTTGAGCTCATATTAACCCTATCCGTACGCCCTGGGGTCATATTGTACCCCCGGGGTTGTATTCTTCACATTTTAGAATACTAGTTGCGAAGATCTCTTTGAAACGTTCACTATTTCTAAAAAAAATCATTTTGACAGACTGCTACGCAAAGCGTATAGATCGGATTAAGGAGTAAATTTCCTCTTTGGCAAGTGGTGGCACAGAGTTCCCCACGTCGTATGGATACGATAGTAAAACACGACGTACGGATAGGGCTAATCTTGAACCTCTTAACTTTTAGCTCAGGCTCATTTCGCTGTTCAGCTCGAGCTCACGTTAAGCTCCGTCTTGTTCCTATGTCTGGATGAAAATAGTCTCTCTGTGTGTGTGTGTGTGTGTACATTAATGTATATTGCATGAGAAGAAAGGAAGTAGTATGAAAGGCTTTTGAAAAATGGGTATTCCAATGTAAAGCCGCATTGAGCTACTTTTTTTGGAAATGCACTATATAAATGTTATATATTATTATTAT